CGATCTCTTCTTGATCAAGGCGGCGTTGAAGAAAAATTAGGGCAAACTGAATACAGAGTTATGATTATAGACGCTTTGCCCAGAGACGGACTGAATCTCACATTCCATTGTTATTCCGGAGATAATGATTTGGGTTGGCACTATCTTCGTCCCAACAAAGATTAGGACACTTTCAGTTTTCACTTCCACGTAAATGTGTGGGGAAACACCAAATTTTATTGCACATTTTGGTGGTGTGACAAGACGAGACATATGGCTGTTTTTGATACGAGAATTTAGAAGAATCATTGTGTCGGAGGTGATAAACTCGATACATGTACTTGGTTAGTTCAACCTGATGGTTTTTATACGGTTCGTGATGACGGTTATTTAACCTTGATTAATAAGTGGGATAATCAATGATGGGTTTTTATATTGTAATAATCAAATTAAAATTATATATTGTCGATTTGGTTTTATACTGATTTTACAGTAACCTCTTGACATTTGTACGTACTATCAGTTATTTTTCCTTTAAAGTTTTTACTTAATATATTGGTTTACCTTCTTTTCCTTTCAATACCAGGATCAAAATTTATATTGAAGAGCATATTCGTTTTTGAATCAGTAAAAGGCTTGGGGTTCAAACTCTCTCACCTTCCAATGAACAAGAATTGCTTGCTTAATGGTTTTGGCATGTTCATCATACTGGAACGTAATTTTATGTTTTGGTATCAAATTTGTTTTCACTAGACGAGTAAAAAGTTTAATAAAATTAACATGTCATGTTCGAAACTTCATATCTATTACTATACATCTGTAAATTTTTTTGTATTTGGCTTGGATGCGATCAATTTTTATGGGTCTCACAAATTATACTTTTGGATACAACAATAATAAGTTTACCATAATCTGAATCTCCCAACATAAATATTTGTTGCAGTTGCGCTAATATGAGTTCTGATGTGTGAATTGGCTATGTTTAAGAACTTTAAAAATAAAATATTGGTACGATGCTTCAGACTTATACATAAAAGAGGAAAAAACGAAAGAATAAAAACTCTCTTCGGCTAGAAGGAAATAAGAATTAATGAAAATAAATAAAGAGAAAGAAACTGAACGAAAATATTTTCTGTAGACTACATTGTGACTGACTTGAATTTCAAAGATATGATAGAGCCATATTTATAGGCATAACAAGTAAAGCTCTCCTACTAGATAACAATAAAGAGAATAAATCTATCAACTAATTTATCACTTATCCTTCTAACCTAGTCTATCTTGATTAACTCAAAGAGGTGAAATGACTCCTTTTCTTAATAAAAGAAACTTCTCTTTTGATAATAATCTTTAATATCCTCCCTCAAACTGAGCCGGGATTGGAGACACAGTTTGCTTCTTGAGTGATTCTGACAACTGTTTTGGGTTGCTTGCTTGAAGTTTCATGATCTGTGAATGGTAAGTTGTGAGCGACGTAAAGTGTGTTTTTGAGTGGTGTGCTCGAATTGTTGAGCTGTTAGACATTGTTGAGAAACGAGATGTATCAAGTCTCATAATTGTGTGGTTAGATTTTTGCATGACAAGTCCAAGTTTCTTTTGAGAGGTGCTCGAATGTTTTTCATGATGTGGATTTTTGTAGATTGACACAGAGATAAGTTAACTATTGAGTTTTTTGGATCAACTGAATTTAATTTTTGAAAAAAAAAATTCTTTTTGAAGTTAATTTGAAATATTTGGGTGGATGGATTGGACCAAATTAGTTAGAGTGATAATATGGAAACACGTATGGGAAAATCAGAAATGTATATATGTTGGTGTTGGAAGGAGAACATTATAGGAGCTATGAATTTGATGAATTTGGAGTTTGATTATTCAAGGGCATTGACGTAGATGAGAATAGAAAAATTATGACTTATTTGGAAAAAAAAAAAAACAAAAAAACAAGCGGAAGCAAGGCTACAGAAGTATGACAAAACCTGCTTTGATACCAAGAAGAAAACTATAATTTGAGGAACATAAATAAAAGAAAGAAAATTGAAAAAATCTTTGAAGACTACATTGTGACTGACTTGAATTTCAAAGATATGGTAGAACCATATTTATAGGCATAACAAGTAAAGCTCTCCTACTAGATAACACTAAAGAGAATAAATCTATCAACTAATTTATCACTTATCCTTCTAACCTAGTCTATCTTGATTAACTCAAGAGGTGAAATGACTCCTTTTCTTAATAAAAGAAACACCTTTTTTGATAATTATCTTTAACATGGCTAATAAATGTTAGGACAAAAAGAAAATAAACAATCTCATCCTTTGTTTGAAACATTTGGAATCAGAACGTACTAAAGTTTCTTGAATAAATTAAACTATTAACCTGTTTGGCTAGTTCGGGCCGACGAGAGATGTGAGTCTTGGCCCAGGAATTTTGGTGGATTTATATGATTATGCATGAGGTTTTAAGGCCTTAAAATAGCCCAAAAATGGCCAAAATACGTTTAGGGTCAATATGAAGTAATTGGACGTGAACAGATTCAGAATTGGAAAAGGAAATAAGAAGCCGAATGAGAAAAAAATTGTACCAGAATCAGATGCGTGATTAATCGGCAATTAAGGATGATTCTTCCTTATTTCTTGCTCCTTTTTATAAGGGGAATTACCATTAATTAAAAAGATATATCTGGGAAAGAATTCTATTACCAAATTAAGAGCTGATTCATCAACGACTAGGAGACTACTGCGGGAATAGTATTTTATTTTCAAGGAAATTGACCATGTTAAGCTACTTATTCTCCAAGGAATCATAGTGCAGCAAAGGTTTCGTCCAAACACTATAAATAGAGGCAGCCATTAAGAGAAAATCATCACCAATCAACCATACAACTGGTTATCCTTGTCCTTTATTATTTCTTTTACCATTTATCATGTTTTTACCTTCCCCTATGGTAGTTCATCACGTTCTATCATACTTGTAGCCCCTAGCTTAGCAATAGAGTTGTTTGCCTTTTTCTCCTACATAGAATTAGGTAGGTGTTCACCGTTTTCTATTCCAACGAATTCAGTTATTCTGTAATAGGTGTTCTAACACTTATGTATGTCGGACTACCCTCTGCACGTCTGTCCTCCCTTTGCCTTCTATGTAATGGCGTGCCACCGGCACCATCTATAGCTTGCGGGTGCTAGGATTTTCCACTTTATAAGTCAAACGCCGTATCTTCGGTTTTTTCCCACTTTCTCTAAATCTCTACATGTTTTTCTCAAACTAAAACTAATAACCCTAAGTCCTCTATCCTTGTCTGAGGCCGGTTTGAATTCAACCACAACTGTCTGATTTAATTGCATTTTTGGTGATTCATGTTCCCTTTTTTCCCATGGTTTCAGGTGCATAATTTTCAGGCAAACATAATTTGACAGACCCGGTGGGACAAGCTTTAGTTTGATTTGTAAATCGTGGAAGTCTGTCATCATACCACGAAGTTTTCTGCGTCATAAAAAACCCAAAAAGAATTTTTTCTTTTTTTCTTTGTCATGGCGTATCTAAATACCCAAAATTATATCTTGTTCTGTATAGTCAATCACCTGAAAATTCTAGCCTTAAATGCACGTCCCCCAACATCCAATATAGCTCATCACCACTTGGTGGGTAGATCTGTCTACAACCTCAATCCTCATTGCCCCAGATCCAAAATAGCCCATCATCACTTGGTGGGCAGATTTTCCAGCGGCTTATATCAACACAACCTTGCTCTAGGGTTATATATGTCGCCAATCAACAATCGGAGCAGCATATAGAGTGCCATTGTTACAGTTGGTGCCAAAATAGTGTTGATCAAGAAAATACAAATCTAGTCAGTGCGACGATTCTGAATTCTTATGCCGATTACAACTTTCAAGCAACTGACTACAGAGTTGTATGCCATTTTGTCCAATCAGATGATCAATATGACGTAGATCGACAATCTAGCAGTGCTAATAAACGAGATCAAAGTCCGACAATGCAAAAACCTTGAAGTCTCGGGGAGCAAGCCATTTTTAGCAATCGATTGCATTGATTTGTTTGTTACGATTGGCTCAATGGTGGTCAGAGCAATGCGCAAGTTCTATTCGAAGATAGTGGACTACAATCTACAACTTTTGATGATGAGTCCCAACAGTTTGAACCACTGACGGTGACCTTTCAATAGCTTTTGTCGCAATTACAACCTCGGCAAACAGCATCGGCACCGACACATGTCCACCAGTCATATTCATTGCCGATGGAGTATCAGGATATTCAGTTGCCATCCGGATTGATCCGACGAGTTTGGTCACAACCAAAGCAGCCCCAGCCAATTGATCAATTGATTATGCCATTACAGTCCCAGCAGCTGACACAGTTCCAAGAATCAGTTTAGCACCAATCATCAGCAGAGATCCAGCCATTTTATTCATTACCAATGGAGTCTCAATCGGTTAATGAGATTTCACAATCAGTCCTGCCTCATACGCAATTGCAACTTCAGCAATGGATAAAGTCCGCAGAGGTGAGTTTGAACTGATTGTGGGAACATACTCAACAGTTTGAATCATTGCCACTAGAGTCTATAGAGCAGTCACAGTCATCATCAGCGGAGTCTCGACCGACCGATCAGATAGCAACGCAGTTGAATGAGATACCATTACAGCCACTGTTGCAGGCACAACAGCCATTGGTGCAACTTCAACAGATTCAGACATTTCGAGTGCAATCCGAGCAAGCCGGTCCATCTCTAGCACTGATCCAACAACCATTGGTACAATCTCAACAAAAGCAACAATCGGTGAAAAATCCAGCAAATGCAACAACTATTATTGGTAGAGTCTAAATGGATGCGGCAATTACGGGCCTCACTCCAAGAGTTGCAATCATCATCAAGAGTGCCTCGGCAAGTTGAGCAATCAATGATAAAGATGTAATAGTCATCATTACAATGTCAGCAAGTGCAACAATTGGCAGTTGCAAACCAATCATCCTTAGCATGTCATTAATTGATTGCACGATTGATGGATCAACAGCTTCAACGTGAAATGACACAGTTGCAAGAATTGGTGGAATTACCTTTCCTGGATCTTCAGGGTTCTAATCTACCATTGGCAGCACAAAGCCAGCTATCGGTGCCAATAGAGCAGTTACAGCAGCTACAAGAGCCATCACTGGCTCAGGAAGCTCACTTTATATCGATTTTAATAGAAAGCCAATTGCCAATGGAGCGAATACAAGCTAAGAAGTGGCAGTCATCACCAGAACAAGATCAGCATGGTCAGGAACAAGTGATACATTCCCATCAATTTCAGCAGCAGTCAGCGGCATTCCATCAGCGAGTGATGCCGTTTGATCAGAAGACGCTACCATTTAATGAGTTCCAAGGGTTACAGTTTCAGAGACAGATGGTGCGAAACAATGTGTTTGATCAGCAAGTGGTGCCAAGTAGATCTTTTCAGAGTTTGTCTCAGTTAGAGCAAGGTCAGCTGCAAGAATCACTTTCGTCGATTTATGTGCTAATACCATCAATGAAGAATCAGTCACGAGGGTCGCTAGAGCAGAATCAGTGTCTGACATTCTCAACGCATGATCGGTTTTTCAGTATTTACATTCACATCACTAACAATACACAGATTCTAGACAGATCCACTTGGCTGATGATTCCGCAGTTGCACAGTATGTTCAAGACAAATGGTTGGTTGACAAGAGACAGATCTGTGTAGGTACAAGTTATTGTGATGCCGGTTAGAGCGGCGATGGGTTCCAAAGAATTCATGAACGGGATCAACAATCCAGAATATTGTTACTAACTGATAAAGGGCCGACTAATTCAGATGGCTACAATTCTCAAGAAGTTTCTTTGATGCCCGGGGGGCAAGTTGCTGATGATAAATCTTGTTTATTGGATAGTCATGACTTACAGTTTGAGCGAACTGTCGAACGATCAGCAATCAACAATGATACGCATCAATTTGAAGTGGTTTGTTCCACGAATCCTTACACACTCAATCCTAAAGATATGGTACTTGTCAGTATCATGTTGATTCAAGTTTTAAGTTCGGTTCTGTGATGGTTAGTAGAGGTGATAGAGGCCAGCTTGCGAGATACCCATCATCTATGCTTAATGTAAGTGGGTTGGCCGAGATTGATGATAACCAAAGTCAGTTTCATACATCCATGGTGAACATAGAAGAAATGTTTGATGGTTTGAATAAAGACGTGGAGACTTGTATGAGGAAATTTGATTGTATGGTGCAACACGTGTCCCAAGTTCCAATACCAATTAAAGCTTTATGTCTTGGTGATTCCGTAGATGTTAATGGATTTCAAGAGTGTGTTGATCTACAAAGCGAATATGGCGAGTCTACAAGCAGTGAGAAGGTAGACGTACAATGCAAAACCTCAAGACCATGGTGATAACAGCTTTACAAATAGCAGAATTATAGGTCAAAGTCAAGGTCGTTCGACGATACTCAAGATTGTTGTGGTTGAAACAAATAAAATGAAGTTTTCATCAATTGAAGGTGGTTTGAAAGATGTGGATACGAGTCTTAATGATCATAGTTACATTCGGCATTCTGGCCCTTCCCATCAGGTTTCGAGTTTCTCACCATTGGAGCACAAAGAACAATGTTGCTTGAATTCAGCCAGGGTTGATTTTGCTGCTATGAAATTGTCATCAATTGAAGGTAGCTCAAACAACGTGTTTCAAAAGAACGAGTCTTCTGATGATAGCAGTGTTCAACAGTCTGGTTTTATAGCTGACATAGTCTCAGATTCTTCATATCTCAATCACCAAGAACGGGGCCGATTGATCATGCTTGATAGTGATGAGACTAAAGACACTTCGCCGACAGTTGATGAAATGTCAAAGGGGTCAATCTGCAATGGTTGGCAGCATAGGGCAGCCACCGCGAAAGCTTCTGTTTCTTCACAGTTTAGTCATCAAGATAAAAGCAGATTGACGGCACCTGGTATTGATCAAGCTGAAACAAGCACGACTACATTTGGCTGGTGAAGTATCCACAAAATTGATTTGCAATGATAGTGATCCAACTCGGCAGCTTGATTCATCGACCGATTTTGTTTCTCTACGGCTTGAGCAATTGGGTCAAAGCCATTTGGAGACATTGGGTGAGGAACATGCTAATATGGGCAAGATCGAGCTGCCGGAAGTAGAGAGTTTCCTAAAAAAGGTGGTTGGTGGTAATAAAAGCCGAGTTCAACATATCGATTCCGGTGGCGATCGAGTTAAGCAAACGGTAGCTTCTTCGCAAGCCAAAGGATGCTCCAATCATACATGTATTTATGACAAGAGAGGCTCCATGGGGTCCAACTACAAAAGGCGTATAAGTAAGTCCATGAACCATTCTTTTTATCAAGCCGATAGAGCCAAGTTTACAAACTCTTTATCTGGGGCCGATTCTCAAGAGTTGATGCTGAATCTAATGAGAATCAAGAGGAGAAATACATTGCTTGGCTGGATATTGGTGCTGCTGTAGAATGGAAGTTTGAGTTGATCACTGATCATCGGATCCTGAAATCATTAGCTTGTCAAGAGAAATGGTGTTGCACTCGAGCTTATGCCAAACTTTTTGGGTCTACACCAAAGAGGATTAGAGCATTTTATGTTGAAAAGATAGTGGCAAAAAAGGATGATGATGTGAAGCCGAAGGTTGATGAGAATAGAGAGGACAATGAAGATAATCGTTGCAGAATGATGAAGCAGAGATAAAAGTCGTTAAAGCGATCGAAGAGCAACGGATTCAGTCATAGTTAAAAAATGATAACAGTCAGCTGGTTCATGCGGCATCAAGTGAAATCAACATGGAATCGGCAATCAACAAAGATGAGAGCCGCAAATAGATCGATTCTAATACAGTTTGTGGTTCTGCCATCTCCAACCCGGTTTTCATACAATTCGGCAGTCAACCTGAGGTAAGATGCGACCAGCCGGGTACTTTTCCGTTGATTTTTCATGGTCAAGACAAGAAGGTAGTAAGAAATATGATTCGGGTACAGTCAGTAGCGCTACCATGGAAAATCCAGTTCTTGAACGATTTGGCAGCCAATTTCTAGTTCTGCATAACAAAATGGTTAGTTCTGCAATGAATTCTCAAGGTCAGTCCTTGTCAACAGTAACAAAGGAGGTCAAGAGCAAAGATGTCATTTCTGGTTCTAAAGTCCAAAATGTTAAGAAGCGAAAAGTCAACAGTACTTCTAGTTCTCCTATTTCAAACGGTCGGTTTAGTCCAAAATCTAACCTCAGTATTAACATGTCCTCAAGAACAAAAGAATCGTAGGAGCTATCTGCGAAGGCAAAGATCACAAGACTTCAAGTCCAGTTCCAGAACTGATAGTAGCTTTAAGGGGAAGTCTCAACCGTCGCAAAAAAGTAAGAGTGCACTATTCTTTAATCCGTATTATTCACATTATGCATGGGTACCATATTACATTATGTATCCAGTGGGATGGTGTTATGTGGATCTAATTGTAACATGAAATGCGTATGGCTAGTGGTAGAGATGTGCTCATCAACATTTATATCAAAATCATATTTAATATGAACGTTCGGGGGCATTATGTTTGGCCAGTTTTTTGCTATTCGGACTGACGAGAGGTGTGAGTCTTGGCCTAGGAATTTTGGTGGATTTATATGATTATGGCTGAGGTTTTAAGGCCCTAAAATAGCCCAAAAGTGACAAAAATACGTTTGGGATCAATATGGGTTAATTGGGTGTGAACAGATTCAGAATTGGAAAAGGAAATAAGAAACAGAGTGGGAATAAAATTGTACCAGAATCAGTTGTGTGATTAATTGGCAATTAAGAAAGATTCTTCCTTATTTCTTGCTCATTTTTATAAGGAGAATTATCATTAATTAAAGAGATATATTTGGGAAAGGATTCTATTACCAAATTAAGAACTGATTCATCAACCGATTGAGAGACTGTTGGGGGAATAGTATTATATTTTCAAGGAAATTGACCATGTTAAGCTACTTATTCTCCAAGGAATCATAGGGCAGCAAGTGTTTCGTCCAAGCACTATAAATAGAGGCAGCCATGAAGAGAAAATCATCACCAATCAACCATACAACTGGTTATCCTTGTCCTTTATTATTTCTTTTACCGTTTATCATATTTTTACCTTTCATATGGTAGTCCATCACGTTCTATCATGCTTGCTTAGTCCCTAGCTTAGCAATAGAGTTGTTTGCCTTTTTCTCCTACATAGAATTAGGTAGGTGTTCACCGTTTTCTACTCCAACGAATTCGGTTATTCTGTAATAGGTGTTCAAACACTTATGTACGTCAGACTACCTTCTGCACGTCCGTCCTCCCTTTGCCTTCTATGTAATACCGTGTCATCGGCACCATCTATCGCTTGCCGGCGCTAGGATTTTTGACTTTATAAGTCAAACGCCATATCTTCGATTTTTCTCCACTTTCTCTAAATCTCTACATGTTTTTGACAAACTAAAGGCAGTAATCCTAAGTCCTCGATCCTTATCTGAGGCCGGTTCGAATTCAACCACAATTGTCTGATTTAACTGTGTTTTGGGTGATTCATGCTCATTTTTCCCACAGTTTCGGGTGCACAATTTTCACGCAAACATAACCATTATTACAAATGGTCATTATTCATTAATTTTTGAAAATGAATTATTAATTTTGTAGAATGTTTCTTGGTTACTTACGTTTGTGTTTACTTATTTTGTCTAAATGTGGAAGGAGAAAATTTTTTGTTAGTGCTTGTATGGATAAGATTGGGGGAATCTGTCCCAGGAAAATATATATGTTACATTGTCAATTGTGAATTTTATTGTTATTAATTATAATTTTTTGGTTATAAATTTACATTACAAATCTGTTACCTTCGTACAAAGAAGTGTATAAATTGGATTTAAACACCTAAAAAATATGAGAAACTCAAGCCATGAAGCACATGACCGGTGGCCACTAGCATTGGTTTGGAATCATAACTCAATTTATATTTACATGTATGGATGGACGAATCGACCTTCAATCTCCAGTAAAATGACCATTTACATTCAATACATACATACACAAGGTTCATTGTTTTGGTAATTACACTAGGTTCATGAACCTTATTCCAGGATCACCAAATTTATTATCGTTACAAATTTAACACATAATAATTTTTTTTTATTTTATAGATAAAAATTGAATAATAACCTAGTGGTTAGGGTACTATCTTTTCTGGCAATAGACCAATGTTTGATTCGACGTTTTACCTACATTTAAGTGGGGATCACTGGGATAAATTTTTTGAAAAAAAAAATTTATAGAAAATTTCATTTTCATTAGGAAGAACAAAACAAAAAAATTACAAAGTTAATGTAATTTAAGGATCAACAAAATCTAGTTTTCAATTAATATTAATGTATAAATGAATCATAACTCAATTTATATATACTAATATATATTTTTATCAAGGATCAACGAATCAATCTTCAATCTCAAGTTAGATGTTTCGGGTATATATCAATTCCATCATCTATAAATTTAAAATGATCTATATGAAGGTGAAATTAAAATTTAAAATCATCCAGACCGAACAAATGAAGCACTCCAAAATTTTCCCACCTCCATTCATCAATAGAAATGAAGACGATTAGTTGGCTTTTGGAAAAATTCAACTACATTTTACTTCTTTTTCATCTTTTCATTCATTAATCCTCGTAACTTTTTGATGATGATGGTCCACACTTTTTTATTGGACTTGATTTTCATTCAGTCAAATTAGCAAAAAGAAAATCATGCAACAAAAAGCCAACAACTCCTTGACTTCTGTTTTGTCCATTTGATTGATTAATTTTTCATTAAACCAAAAAAAAAAAAAAAACTGTTAATTTACCAGTACCAAATCACCAAACTGGCAAACAATAGCAACATAGAACAATTAACAGGTCAAACAAAAAAGAAGAAGAAATGTGAATTTATTCATATATTTTGGTCCCCCATTGGAGTGAAAGCTCATTCACAGAGGAAAACTCAGTAGTTAGGAAAGGGAAAGCAATAAATGCTTGATTATTCTGTTGGGCTGGTGTTTATCTTTCGGTTATTATTGAGTTGTTCTCAGAATTTCACACATCATTTTCCATTCTTAAAGCAGAATTTAATTTAAAGTATTATATTTAAGACACATTTCCAGCATTTTAGCAGAGAAGCTGGGAGACAATACAGAAAAGTCTCAATCTTTCTTCATCAGCTCAAAAAACGCAGTCGTTTTCAAGAGAAAACTTCCACTATTTTCAGCTTCAGCTCGTCCTTGAGCTTTCAAAAAAGTCAGTTCTTCCTACTTTTATCAACATTTGAGGCAAAATAAATTCTGGGTTTTTCTGGGTTTTTTGAATAGTTGATTGAATTGGGTAGGAAGAGCTTTGAGAAATGGGGAATATCATTTGTAAGGCGAAAAAGGATGGTAATGTTGGATCAAGAAGTAAGAGACATGGCGGTGGTGATAGATCATCGTCGAAGAGGAGGAGTTTAATGGAGGAAGAGTTGCTGCATAGGCAAGCTCTTTCAATGGCAATTCAGCAGCATCAGTTGTCTCAGAGGTTTGAAGGTTCCATGTCTAGGCGTATTGGATCCACTAGCTCTCGTCGCCGTAATACTAATAATAATTTATCTGATTCTTTCTCCGCTTCCACAAAACAGGTACTATTTGTCATTAGCTTTTGCTTTTTTCTATTTTCCTTTGGGTTCTTTAATTCAATCAGCTTATTCAGTTGCCTTTTTGCTTTGTTGCTTTCACTTTTCTCTGCCACCAACTATGTGGGATATCCTACTCTATTGTTTTCTTTTGCTGTATTTAGGAGGGGTAATGGTGATGTGGTTCAATTTCATTATTTGGGATCTAGGCTCTGGGAAAAAGGGATTGAATTTTAATGTCTTTTTACGGGTGTTCGGGCAATCTAGTTTGGGAGGTATGTGATGCAAAGAGATGATGGAAAAGGTTACAGGATTGAGTTAGAATGATTATGCCAAAAAGTGGGGGGAGAGAAAGGAGATGGGACACCTTTTTGTCTGCTGGGAAATTAAAAGGATTGGTATTCCCTACCTTTTCCAGTAAAACTTTTTTCTTCTTGTTTTTCCTTATAGTCAGTAATATAATAATGCCAATACTTGTATAATTATAATCAATTTTCATCCTTAACAATATTTTCTTAGAGACACAGCGTGAATATGATCTAGCTTGGTCAGGAAAAACAACATCAGTTGCTAAGTGAAGTCAGTATGATTCTGTTTGAAGTATCACCAGTTCTGCCCTTGGGTAACTTGTGCTAGTGGTATTTTTCAATCTAGGAAATTAAAATTAGAGTTTTGTCCCTGGCAGACTACCCTTGTAAACAAAAGTGTTTCCTGCATTTTGCTTTTCTTCTTGGGTACAGAAGTTAATGACTGCGTCTTATGCAAAGGTAAGTAATATTTCCCTTTGTTCTGGGATTGAAGAAGAGTATTTGCTGTTGGGCTGCGTAAATTCTGGGACTATAAATAGAAATCTGAAGGTCAATCACCTTAATGATTTAGCCTATGATTGTTTACAAGCATTTAGAGTGAGAGCAGTTATACCTGGTGAAGTTAGAGATTAGTTGCTGGCATATATTGCACAATCCTTAGACAGGGTATGAATGGCTGTGACGGAAATTAAACCTTTGCCATATAAGATTGCGCAAAGCTAGAAAGGCAAGTCAACCACGATTGATTTGTATTGGAAAATTTTACTGTGGGATGTTGTCATAATTTCGCTCGTGCAAGCAATTATACTTTACTTAAGGAACCCTCAGCTAATGCAGCTCTCATTGTTTACGAAACTTCGAGCTTATAAGCTTGTTAGCTTTGTCTTGTTTTTCTTGTCACTCTATCTTTCTTTCAGTGAAGAGGTTATGTAATGTTATTACTCGTTCTGTAGTTCACTGCTTTGTTAGATCATTTTAAAAAGGCAAGGTTGTCGGATAACATGTGATGCCCTTATATGTATGGTGATCAAGGTTATTGTTTCTTGTTACACTTTGTGTTACTGAGATTTTGAGGATCCTATTCTTAAGTATAATGAACTGAGGAACACTCGCTCTTGATCTCGTTGTATGTGCCAAAATATTAAATGTTAAGAGTTACATTGAAGTGGATCTCCTTGTGAAACTGTTATTTGAATTATTACCATCAACATGTGACTGATCTTAACTCCTTGTTAACATGAGAAGGGGTTAAATTCTTCTGTATTTAGTTGACATCAATGTAGATGATATACACGTTATGTTCCTCCTGTTTAATCATCCATGAAAAGTGTATAAATGTTTTTATATATCTGTTACAGTTGCCAGAATTTTTGGAAAATATCAAATCGAAGAAAATTGTACTGATACATGGAGAAGGCTTTGGAGCTTGGTGTTGGTATAAAACTATTGCTCTTTTGGAGGAAACAGGTTTACTTCCAGTTGCATTGGATCTTACTGGATCTGGCATTGACTTAACAGACACTAAGGATGTTAGAACACTGGCACAGTACTCAAAACCTTTGACGGATTATCTGCAAAGTCTACAAGCAGATGAACAGGTAACAAATATCTGCTAAATTTGTGAAAGGATATGTTGAACATACTATCTTTACTGTTGCAATTCTTCTGTTAATTTTTAATTATATATTGTAGGTCATTGTGGTTGGCCATAGTGGTGGAGGCGCTTGTGTTTCCTATGCCTTGGAGCATTTTCCTGAAAAGATCTCTAAAGCAGTTTTCCTTGCTGCTACTATGGTATCTAATGAGCAAAAGCCTTTCGATGTGTTTGCCGAGCAGGTATGTTGTTTATCTCTGAAAGTTTGATTATCTTTCTGCTTTCTGCAAGCTACCCTCAGAAAAGTGTGAAGATACACTATAGGATGTTTCGCAGTTGAATTACAAAGTTTAAAACGTTAAAGAAGGTGTTAACTCTACTGCTCTAGTACTTCTGTTTTTTATCAATGGCTTTAAAAGTGACTGAAATCTTGCCTCATGGATTTCGCTGTAATCCTTCTTTATTATTAGATGGAAACAGTTAAATGGAGTTGCCAGGTCTTGGCTACTTCAAACCTTGAAATGTCGACGTGGGATATACAAATATATATATGAATATACATTTCATTCTTGTCTAGTATCTGAGATATTCTTTAACCGTGCAGCTTGGATCTGCAGAACTTTTCATGAAAGAATCTAAATTTCTAATCTTTGGTAATGGGAACGATGAACCTCCAACTGGATTCAGGTTTGAGAAGCAGCAGATGAATGGATTATATTTCAATCAGTCCCCAACAAAGGTACCCTTATGTCCAGATCTTTAATTATCTGCGATCGTTTGGTCAAATTTCTCTATATGTTTGGAAAAGAAAACAAGCATTTTAATGCAAATTTTCACAAGCTCATAGTTGCGATCATCTACGTTAATGCAACTTCACTGTATCATATTACCCTTCAGGATCAGATCAAAGGTTTCTATTTATCTGAGATTTAGAGGCATTTCTAACCTTTCTTAATATGGCATCTCCTGGGATTTAAGGAAATGAAAGTTCTGGTTTGTTTTTGACATTAGGATGCCATTAAGATTTACTTCTGTAAGATGATATCTTTATCCTTATATCCATTTTTGTTTTTGTTTGCTTTTTACTTTACTTGATCTGCCTCGTTTGTTTGCTTGTATGCGCATCTATGATGTCTTGAACTTTCGGGAATTGTTTGATTTATAGCTGACATAGCGTCATTTTCTGGTACCTGATAAAATGTAATGCCGTCCTGTTGCTTGCAAATTTCAAGGGTTTTGCTAATGCTTCTAAGCAGTATCCACATACCTCTATGCCGTAGAACCTGTCTTACTTTCTTGAGGCAATGCCACTTTCGAAGATTATTGTATATGTGCTACTACCACTATTTTATGTGATGAAAAGTAGGCTTGGCACAACGGTTAAAGTTGTTGCCAATGGACACATGATGTGCTTACTCGGATTTGAGTGTTGGAAACAACAAATGTAGAAATATAGGATACAACTTCATGTGTTAGGCCTTCATGGATCAAACTTACCAATGTGCAGGGCTTTTAATGCCGGAAATTGCCCTGTTCTACTGCACTGGTAGTCTAGGAAAGTCCTTTTTAAATGGCAATTCCTAACAATCTATGGTAATGAAGAATAACATGCTATCTCTTGGTACTTTGCAGGATATTGCTCTGGCGATGGTATCCATGAGGCCGATCCCTCTTGGTCCCATGATGGAGAAATTGTCATTAACACCTGAGAAATATGGAAAAGGCCGTCGGTTTTACATCCAGACCTTGGAAGATCATGTACTGTCACCGGATGTTCAAGAAAAGCTAGTTAGAGAAAATCCCCCAGAAGGCATATTTAAGATCAAGGGCAGTGATCATTGTCCCTTCTTCTCAAAGCCACAGTCACTCCACAAAATCTTACTCGAGATTGCTCAAATTCCATAGAAGGACCAAGTACGAAATACCCAACTAGTCACCTTGTTTTTTCACCAGAAAGAGGAAAAATTTCAGTAGGAGTATACTTTCTGATAGAGGAAGATATAACCGTTTCATCAAAGGCCATCATCTATCTGTACACCGAGAAATGCTATTTTTTTCTTGTATAATAGAAATCTGTTCTTCCTTTTCATTCATTTTTGAATGTCACTTCTATATTGGCCATCAGCAAATTGGATAAGAGTGATTAACAACTATACAAACTGAAACCAGAAGCGTGGACTGCCAGCTTCTTCTAAAGATTTGATTTCATGATTCTCTAGAAGGTTTGAGATTAATACAGGACTTAAGTTGCTGTCGAAACTAGAAATTGACAAATTTTTAGTGTCGGATCAAATTATTTTTTATTTTTATTTTTTTGACAAAGTTCCTCGTCATCAACTGCGTCAATTATAAGAAAACTTTTCCGCCTCATTTAAAGATCACATTTTGTTGAAATAAACTAATACAACACATGGTGAGCAAATAAAATTTCCAACCCATTCATCTAAAGCAAGTACCTCGACCCTAAATGATTATCCAGTTTAGTATTTTACTTTTAGTATAAACTGTACTAAAAATAAAAATCCAATCTAGATTATGATTTTGTGACGGAGAGAGTAGTAGTCTTTTCAATAATGCAAAACAACTCCAGCAGGACTTCCCGAAGCAAATAGATATCATGCATTCCTGAATTACAAGATTTATTTTTTCCTCTATCATTTTTAAAACTTTGGCAAAATATATATCTTATTATTAAGAGTGTACTTTAAACCATTCATTTCTTACAAATTTAAAAATATTATTAGAAACCACTATAAAATCATTTACTTAGCAGTTAATAAAGAAGAGAAAAGAAAGATATATTAAATTTCGCTCAACAATACTGACACGATAACGATTTATAATATTATCTGTATAATAAAAATCTCTCAATATTATTTTCTATATATACTATATTCGAACACGATACATCCGTTTAAGGAGAACAGGCTCTCGATTACTTGGACGAAGAAGTTGGTTTTACCCAATACCAAAGGGAAAAAAGAAGCGATGAATATAATTTGGTCAAGTGATTAAGCTAAATCACCCCAAATTAAAAAGGGGAAAAAAAATTGGAAAAAGGGGAAACTTCGTAGTCATGTCTACGTAAAAAAAACTTGCCCACAAAGTTATCCCTCTGCTAAGCGCGTGAGACCGTCACCGTTAAAAGTCAATGTTAATTATATAATTTTATAAACATTTAGGGGCGAAAGTGTAAATAACTTTCCTCTCTCACTTCTATTATCTTCCTCATTCAATTTTTTCCTTTATTATTTTTCGTCACTTTTCCATTTCGTCCGTCTTCTGAAAACACTTCGAATTCGAAAGGTCATCTTTCACAGGTAAATTCTCTCTTGTTGCTTCTTTGATTCGTTTGATTCTTCGTATGGTTCCGAATAATTCATCATCGTACTGAGCTGTGCAGGATGTTTTTTTTTTTTAAATTTTTTTGTCCAAGTATTGTACAGCAACTAGTTACTGAGTTTGAGAGTAATTCGAAGTTTCTTTATCGTCTTCATAGTTTGAGTTACAATTTCTGTTCAGTTTTTCTGGTTTGATCTTAGTAAACTGAAATTTGTTTGTATTATTCTTATTTTTCTGGTGTTGTGGGGGAAGTGGGAGGGGCATGGACGGAGATCGGAACTTGGGTTTTTTGTTCTTAATTGCTTTTGTTTTTACTACTATGAAGTTCAATTCATATCTGGTTTGATTTTAAAATTTTAGATTATGGTGGTTCTGGTATTTCGAAGAGTGAATTATGTGAAGAGTTTCTGTAGAATTCCTCTGTTTTTTTGATGTTGTCTAGCTATTATGTGCAATATCATGTGATAACAATTGACATACCAGATGTAAGAAGGCATCTTGTTCTGTTTGTAGAATACTATCATAAGTATGGATCGTTAGTCCAACACGACTCTTGTGGTTCATGGTTGGTTCGTCTAGTAGCTGCATACTTGCATTACATTTCTACAGTTAAACTGGATTGTTAGTGTTTCTTTCCTATTTGATTAATGAGACTGTCTTTCATTACACCTCTGGAAGTTGAGAATTCTTTGTATTAGGGGATTGATTAGTAGATTGTCAAATGATTATTGAACCTATTTCTGTTGGAGATGTGCCCAAAAAGATGAATGGTGCTAAAACAGTTGTGACCTATATTGCAGATTTTCTGATTCTTGAAAATGGGTGGAAGCTCAATAGAAGATGATTGGGAATTTGGTGCTCCGTCTAGCGAAGTTCGGACTGTGGTCCTTGTTGGTCGTACAGGCAATGGCAAGAGCGCAACGGGGAATAGTATTCTTAGGAAAAAGGCGTTCAAGTCCATGTGTAGCCATACTGGTGTGACAAGCACTTGTGAGCAGCATAGTACTGTATTGGATGATGGACGCATTGTTAATGTGATTGACACACCTGGTAAGTCTCAATTTGAGAGTTGTTTACAAATCTGCATTGGACAAAGTATGGAATATGTTTGATTGAATGTTCAAATGTAAAATCCATGGGAGATAAACTAAGTCTAATTGTGTTTGATATGTATTTCATGCTAATATCAAATATCAAAATCTGAATTTGAAAACAAATGCAGGCTTGTTTGATGCTAAAGCTGATCCTGAATTCCTCGGGAAAGAAATTGTGAAATGTGTTGATATGGCCAAGGACGGGATCCATGCAGTTCTTGTGGTGTTGTCTATTAGAAGTCGCTTCTCAATTGAAGAAAAGGCTGTTGTTGCATCCTTGAAGCAGTATTTTGGCAGCAATATTACTGATTACATGATTGTAGTTTTTACGGGTGGTGATGAGCTTGAGGAAGCTGAATTGTCTTTGGATGATTACTTGGGTCGCGAGGGCCCTGATCCTTTATTGGTAGGTGATTGAATTGATCTAACAAACAGTTTATTTACTGTCTCTGTCCAGTAACATGCAGAATTGTAGTGTCATCTATGAGCTTGTACTATTTGGGTGTTTGTATCATTTTGTTTTCCCACACATTATGGTGTTGCCTATAGTACAGTCTAGATTACTGCCGCTACTTTATATTTCAATTATTTTGTTAGCTTTCTGCAGCTGTTACCATAGATAATAGGCAACTGTGTCTCATTGATTTGTTGCTTTCTCTGTGTGGGGGTGGCTTCTAATTGACATGCTGTCTCTAGTGATTATTTTCCTGTTGATTCAATCTCAAAGATTGTTTCTCTCATGTATTCCGGAGACCCATTTGCAGATTTAAATTTATGTGTTTTCTTATCTGCTTCAGAATTGTTCTTATTTTCAGTCTGCGCTACAAGTAAAACATATACATTGTTCATCTAACACTCGTGAACATGTTTGTTACAGGAAATCCTTAAGCTGTGTAAAAATAGACGCGTTGTTTTTGATAATAAGACAAAGGATAAGGCGCAGCAAGCTGAGCAACTTAACACTCTTCTTGCCCTTGTGGATGATGTGGTGCTACAAAATGGAGGAAGACCATATACTGATGAGTTATTTGATGAATTGAAGGTCAGATTTTCTTATTAATGATTCATTTGCTATCCTGGATGACAAATATTAAAGTTGAGAGCAAAATGATCAGTTAACTTTATGCTTATACAGAAAGGAGCCAGGAAGCTTCATGATCAAGACGCAGTGGTAAAGTCCTTGGAAGGATATTCTAAAAAGGAGATATCTGCATTACAGGAGCAAATGCATAAATCACACGAAGAACAGATGAAGAGAATCATCATGATGGTACTTGTTCTGCTTTTATATTTATTTTCATCGTGCCAATTATTTTGTTTTACAGCCATTCTTCAAATTCTAAAATGTCGCCCTGTTATGGGATTTAGAAGGGAATTTACCAAGTTGGTTTGTTCACGTCCAAACTTGATATTGTAGGCTTGTAGTATGTAGCGGTAACGTGGTTGGAGTTTATGGTAGGTCAGGTCTATATGGATATAGTTTGTCTTTATTTAAAGATTTAGGACAAGTGGCTGAACTATTTTTTATCTGTTTTATATTGGGCACAAGTCTTTTTTCTTCTTGTTGCCTTCGAGAAGTAATTTAAGATTGCTGGCAGAGTCATTGTTACTAGTTACCACCAATGGAGGGAAAAAATGTCTACTTTAGTTTTTGATGGACTATTATACCTTCATTATTACTTTATTTGTGTCAAACGTCATGGCATGCAAGTCTGGACAAATTTTTGGATTGGAAAGTTGGAAAATCATGTGATGCTGCAATTCGCATTGCAGGTTGAGTCCAAGCTGAGGGAGACAACAGCTAGACTTGAACAGCAGTTGGCTGAAGAACAAAGAGCTCGCCAGATAGCATTGGCAACTGCAAAAGAAGCTCAGGCAAAGTCAGACGATGAGATTCGCAAGTTGAGGGAGCATTTAGAGAGGGCCCAAAAGGAGAATGAGGAGTTCCGGAAGCATGCGGCGAAATGCGCTATACTCTGATGAGTTTGATTACATGTGTATTCTATTCTTCTCTGGTATGCGTGATAGGTTTGAGTGAATCAATGACTTGTTGCGTAATACATTCAAAACTGAAAATTGCATTATGGTGATATATATTCGTGGTGTTGCTTCTTCCTGTTGAAATTCTCATATTTAACTTGTAATCCTAGCTAATTTTTCAGTCTTTTCTTTTTTTGTTTTTATTTACTCTTAAACCACATGAAAACACTTCTTTACTGATTAAATATTACTCTCTCCTTTCCATATTTTGTTTGAGTAAAATAGTAAGACACTGCATTATTAAAATGAGACGGAAGGAATATAATAAATTTCGCCATCATTTTAAAAGCTTTACACAAAACAGTAACTTCAGTTACTTCCAAGTTCAAACATAGCATAGCAATAAGAGTGAAGTCTTTCAACTCCATCAATTTTAATCATTAAGCTTATAAATACTTCTAGTTTTTTCTTCATCCATAAACAGAGTGCACTTTGTAGAATTATTAGTGCATAGTAGGAATTACATGAAACTAAGTCGGCAAATAAAGAAAAGAAAACGACAATACATATTTTTTCTCTTCGTGTACGAAAGACATAAATAAGAATTAGAACTCCCAAATGAACATCGGAATTAAAATTCGTACAAGTTTCCCTATCCTGTCATATTTTAACTCCTGAAGTCCCACAGTAGATGTTATGTGGTTAGAGTTCATATAGTAGATAAATATTTATAAGCTTTTTGCTACGGATTTAGGGATTTGGTTTTTATTATCTTATTACTATCCTCCTCTCCAAAAATAAGAGAACTAGTGATAGTTGAATTAAAGTTGTAGTACATCCGTCTCAAAATTATTGTGTAGATTGAATTTTTATTCTTAGTACAAATTAAATTAAAAATAAAAATCGAAACTGGAAAATACTTTTGAGACAGAAGAGGAATAATATTACACATTGACTATTATTTTGGACACCAAGGGAGTTCAAGAATCCTAACAAAACATAGGAACGGTGGCTGAACAACATCAGTCTTAATGTTTTGACATTGGCTGGCTTACAAAAATATGAAATGAAAAAGTTTAACCTTCTTCATTCTTTGATGACAACTATAATCTTGTGAGTCCATAGTAAGCAAAGTAAAATTTTTTTCTCAAATATTATTTATATTAAATTTATTTTTTTAGCATTTTTTTTTTTGAAAATAGTGTTTATTTTAAGTTATTTTTCTACCTTTTTTGGTTGCAAATTCTTTTATGAAATTTCTATGATCTATCTCTTCTATTAAGCCTTTTTCTTATTAATATAATAGTAAATCCATTTTAATCTGTCTTGTGACATTGTCGATTTTAAGTAATATTTTTTAATTTAAGTTTTGAAAAATTTCTTTCTATTGAACCAACTGTTACATGAATAATAGTTAACATTATCCTCTAAACAATTAAAAAAGAATTAAGTCTTTTAATATAATTAAGTATATCAGTTGAATTATTATTCTCAAATATATACATTATCCGTTAAAATTTTTAGTTCATAAATATATCTAAACCGTCAATATCTAAAATATTATTGTGTTTTATGTAGTTTTGAAGGTTAAGACAATTTTGTTTTTCTAATTTTTTGTCATCAAGTACTTATAATTTTTTCAAAATAAATAGAAAACTAAAAATACTAACGTCTATTTTAAAATTTTTAAATCTGCTTTATAGTGATGAGATATATAGCTTATTTTTATGAATTTTACGTTTTTTCTAAGTTTAGTTAATATATATATGGGGCTCTCCCGATTCCAGGACCCTAGGCGATAGCCTATTTCGTCTAGTGGGAGAGCCACCCTGCTTGTGAGGCCTCACAGAACCAGTACATCCAGTGGCGGAACTACATAGAGCCTCGGGTAGGCTCGAGCACCCCCGGCCTCTCAAAAAAATTTTCTGGCCGCCTTTTGTCTGTATTCTTTGGAGAAGATGATGCTAAGATTTTAGGCTGAGCTTCCTTTTTTTTTAAAAGTTAAAATCAGGCCATTATCTCATATGTAGTGGGCTTCATATCTGAAAGCTATTCAATTTACCTTTCTCCAGGACTAGCCCACCCACCTTTCCTCATCTCTCTCTCTCTCTATATATTTTTTCTGTCATTTTCTTTTTCCAACGTAGAATTTTCACAGCTATAAGTTATTCACTCTTTTCTTTTTTTCTTTTACTTTTTTTTTGAGAAATAAATTAACAAAACCCTCAGTGTTGTTGTATTTCCTTATCACTAATCACTTGTAAGTAATAAGTTCCCCCTTAAAATTTCTCTTTTGTTGGATCAAAATTATCTTATTTATTTAACAAAAAAGTTATATTATTTGATCTAGAATGTACAGAAGAGTTATGATTAATGTATACATTTACAATAGTTAGGTTCTCTTATTTAAATTTCTCCCACAATTTGATAGAATGTGTTATTTTTACTAGTTATCATTAATTTGTATTTGTAATGATATTATGGAACTTTGTTGAAATATGAGATGGCTAGTGCGGGCATTTTGTCAATGAAATGATTTGATTATTTATGTTATCACCTAAGTATACATAATTGAAGTTTAAATGCGAAATATAATGTGTTTTAGGGATTTTTCTATGAAAATTTAGTTAAAACTCTTTTTAAAAAATTTGTAGTCATTTCAATCAACGGTGTTGGTTTTGAAAAAGAGAGTGAAAAGGTTGTTTTTTTTTTTTTTGGAACTCAAAATTAGTAAAACTAAGTGCAGATTCTAACACCTATAATTAGAGTAAAAGAAAACACATACACGATAATATTTGGATTTTATTAAAGCACCTCCGATGCTCGAATCGTGGTTCCGCCACTGAGTACATCCAAGTAGGACAACTACCCGTTTTGAGAAAATATAAGGTAGGACAAAAATTCAACTTATTGGAGGTGCAAAGGGATTTCTTTAAAGGCTGAAAATATTTGGGGGAATAATAATCATACGTAAATAAATTAAATTTGGATATAAGAACATAATTTTTGTGCTATCCAATTCGATAGTAAAGAATCTTATCCAATAGAAAAGATTGTGCTCTACATTGTTTCTTTTGGAGTAATTTGTCCCGAAACAAATTTGGGATCAATTCGAACTGTTGCTGAAATATTCTATTGGGATTTTGACATGATTGATGATATTCGACTCTACTTTTATAATTTTATTGACATGGTAATTCTAAGTGTATTCTACTTTTATAATAGGAATACTTTTTATGTGAGTAAAAACAGGAAATTAAGTGTGTATTAATTTATACGATGAAAAATTTCCAACTCTTTGTATACAAACGAAATTCTGAAAGAATTAGTATTATCCAAAACGTCCTACTTCTCCAAGCAGATTGTCGATTTTGGAAATTACTTTCTGGCTACGGTTTTTCACGTGAGAGTCATCAAAAGGAAATTAACTCTGGATTAATCTAAATGATGATAGAAAAGTTCCAATTCTTTGTAAACAAAAGGAGTTCTAATAGAATTAGGGCTATCCAAAAAAAAAAAAAGAACCAATAGCAGCTTAATTTAATGGATAATTTTATTAAGAATTGGATAAAATTTGCACGTACGTAAAAAGGGAAAATCTTATCCATGCAAAAATATAGTTTTTCCACTCTATAAAAGCTCCTCCAATTTCACTCCTGTGAATCACCTCTAGTCTTCTAACTAGCAATTCTACGTACTCATATTATACTAGTTTTCTCTCTTAATACTTTGTGTTTCTTCTCTCTGCAATCTTTATTAATAACTACTAAGGAGTAATGGCGGTTGGTTCTCTCTTTGTTGAGGGCCGTGGCGGCGGATCGGCGGAGTTTCCGTACAAGTTAACATGGCATGTAATTATGACGGCCATTGCTGCTGCCATGGGTGGCCTCATCTTCGGTTACGATATCGGAATTTCAGGTAACTAATTATCTAAAGTTTTGAGTTATACTACTAGAGTTTTTGCATTGGTCGCGTAAAACGTTTGTTACATTATTATAGTCATGTTGCACATGATTGCAATAGTTGTGTAAATTAAAAATAAATAATCACGTTAATTAATTTGTTGTATTGTTTCAGTTTTAAAAATAAAAGTTGTTTTTGTGTGACAGAGATTGTAACATGTTGGTTTAAACCTAAATATGTTCCTGATGTATTAATTTTCTCAATCGGAGAATTAAATTGTTTTCTTTATTATGATGACCAAATCAGGTGGCGTGACTTCAATGAATCCCTTTTTGAAGAAATTCTTCCCATCAGTGTACCAGAAGGAGGCGTTGGATCATTCCACTAGCCAGTATTGCAAATTTGACAACCAAATCTTGACATTGTTCACTTCTTCCCTCTACTTGGCCGCCCTCGTCTCATCGTTTTTCGGGTCGTGGGTGACCAAGAAATTTGGCCGGAAACTAACCATGGCTTCCGGTTCCATCGTTTTCTTGGTCGGCGCGGCCTTAAACGCCGCTGCTTTCCACGTTAGCATGCTCATTGTTGGTCGTATTCTTTTGGGCATTGGTGTGGGTTTTGCCAATCAGGTGAGTTATAATAATGAATAAAACACATTCTATTTTCACCTTTCGTCCCAAAATAAGATTCTTATTAGTACATATACATTATATAGTACTACTATATATTATGCAATTTTGATTAAATAATTTTACTTTTTTGATTTGCAGTCTGTCCCGATTTATCTGTCTGAAATTACTCCACCAAGGATTCGAGGAAGATTCAATGTGTGTTTCCAATTGTTCATCACAGTTGGAATCTTAGCAGCAAATATTGTGAATTATTTCACAGGTAAATACATGCCAGAAGAAGGATGGAGGGTTAGCTTAGGATTGGCTGCGGTTCCAGCCATTCTAATGTTACTTCCAAGTCTTTTTTTCCTCAAAGACAGCCCGAATTCTCTCCTCGATAGAGGTAAAGAAGAGGAGGCCAAAGCAGTGCTCAAACAAGTCCGAGGAATCGAAAATGTCGAGGACGAGTTTGCTGACATTGTTCGTGCCAGTATTGAGTCGAAAGAAGTCAAGAACTCTTGGGAAAACTTTGTGAAGAGGCAGTACAGGCCTCAGTTTTGCATGTCCTTATTGATTCCCTTTTTCCAGCAATTTACCGGGATTAATGTGGTCATGTTTTACGCTCCGGTGCTGTTTAAGACGCTCGGATTCGGCGGTAACGCGTCTCTCATGTCTGCCCTAATCACTGGCATTGTCAATATGGCCGCTACTTTCGTCTCCGTCTATGGTACTGATAAATGGGGACGAAAGCCTTTGTTCTTAATTGGTGGATGCTTTATGATCATTTTCCAGGTAATTACTGATAAATATTTTATTTTAGTTAGGGTTTAGGGTTAAAGGGTATTTAATTTGTGTTGTTTTTTTTTGTTGTAGGGTTTGGTTGCAGTTTTGATAGGGGTGAAGTTTGGATGGTCTGGACAAGTGGATAACTTGCCAAAGCCTTATGCTTTGGGAATTGTATTCTGCATCTGTGTTTTCGTGGCGTCGTTCGCATATTCTTGGGGTCCATTGGGATGGTTGGTTCCGAGTGAGATTTTCCCATTGGAGATCAGATCAGCTGCACAAAGTGTGACTGTTGGTGTAAACATGGCCTTCACATTCCTTGTGGCTGAAGTGTTTCTCAAGATGCTGTGCACCATGAAGTATTTTCTGTTTGCATTTTTCGCAGCTTGGGTGGTTATCATGACTCTGTTTGTTTTGTTTTTCTTGCCTGAAACCAAAGAAATTCCCATTGAAGACATGGCTGTTGTTTGGACAAGGCACTGGTACTGGAAGAGGTTTACAAAGGGATCAGGAGAGAAGGTTTTGCCCCAATAGTACAGCTAGCTGGCTAGGTTCAATTAATTCTTTGTTTCTTAATCCAATTTGTAGTTTGTTTAGGCCCGAATCTATTTTGGTTTTGTGCACATAGAAATTTCAGAGATATTCATTGATTTAAGTGTTTGGTTTTATTCTCTTTGTGGGATGGATCTTTGATTAAATATTAGTGTACTCTATCATAATATCACTAGCTTGATCACAAAGATCAATGATAAATTTGATTTGTCTGTGTATTCTTTTGATACAATGAAAGATATGCGCTTCAAATTATACAGAAACTAACCCAAAAAAAGAAAAAACTCACCATATCCAGACAAAGGCGCCAATATAGTCATGCTCGATTTCAAATGTTGATCTAATAGTTTCTTGATCCACATACAGAATTATGAAAGGAGATGAACGTTGATTTCGTTGCCACAAAAATCGGGATTTTATTTATTCAATTATTTTTTTCTAGTTATGGAAAATAAATTAAATTCCAGCAAAATGAATAAAGGGATTGAAACAAAAAGTAATATGTCTAGTCAAATATAGGCGTAATTGTGTTTGTAATTATCAAGCATATTTGTGTTTTGTTATAACTCTGGTCGAGGAAGGGAAAGAACATAAGTACCTTGATTCCAACACAAACGTTTCAAGAACATGAACGAAGAAAAACAAGTAAATACTGTCATAAGGATAATGAAAATTCTTTTAAAAGATTTATTAATAGAAAAGTGCACCGAAACTATAAACCTCACTTAAAGGCAGCCCTGATTTCATCCATTTAACTTTTATCCTATGGATTTTCAACAAGTATATCATTAATTCATTATATTATACACTTAAGCCATCGACTTTCTAAAAATGCCCAAAAATGAATAATAAAAATGATAAGTAAATAAAAGGACAGGCAATAAAAGCTAATTTTTCAATATGATTTTCTTCATTTCTGTGTGTTGCAAGTGTCCTAACCTTTATCTAGGTTGACACTCTCTTACACTATATAAGCAATCTCTAAAAGTAGCCCAACTCATGTGCCATTGGAACTAGCCAATGATATATAATTATATATAGTATAAATCAAAATTTAACTGGATGATCAAATGGAGTCTCTCTGTCTGTGTATAGGATTCAGCATGGTTTTCCTGTTATACAAGTGAGAGGTCCGGCTTCAGAAGTCAGAGCAAGAACCGAATTGCCGGAAGCCACCGGAAAAGCTTGAGATGCAGTATAAGGTGGACGGAGGTCATTGTAATTACGAGGTCCAGATTCAACAAAGTAAGCCCCATTCATAAATACATCTTTTGAGGTTCTCCATTCCCAATTCTTCCACCTTCCAAGTGCTTCTCTTTTCGTAACCTGTCAACCGTATTATAATATCACACGATTTATATAATTATAATAATTGAAATATAAACATTTTTTTTTCATGTGTATTCATAAAATTTGATAGCTAGGAAAAGATGAGACTCTCTGAAAGTTACCTGTTTCGAATAAGGATTATTTGAAGCATAGAAGTAGTTCCCTTCACTTATTATTGTAGGATGCGAGCTTTCACCAATCGCGTATTCTGCCCACGGATCATACCTATTGTTTGCTACATGAGCATACCCATATCTAACCCTGCAATTAATTAATCAATCGAATTCATTACCATTTTGGAAATTAAGAAATTTTTTGTGTTTGTTTGTTACCACAAAACTTTAAGGGTCCTATAATATTCAAATGTTTAACAATTAATCAAGGATATATGTAATATCGGTTTTCTCGATATCTAATTACCTTGGCATTCTACAAACCAATCCAGGACCAAAATGGTTGAACGCTATGGTGACTTCTGTGACTTTGTCACTTCTAAATCCGTCTTGATGTCCAATCAACATAACCTGCATTATATATACTAGTCAATGTATGAACATCTTATTTCACCTAGTCCTCATCAAATCACTAATCAATGGTTATATATGGTCCAATTCTTCGTACAAAAATAATAAAAAAAATACTCTTTCAGTACCAAAATTATTGTCCAATTTGAATTTTTACTTTGTTCAATTTATACTAACAATGAGAAGTAAAAAAAATAAAAAATAAAATAAAACGTTTACCTTGTTATGTTGAGTGAAGTAATTGTTGGAGACAGTCACAGCAGTGGAGGCAAGGGTGATGTCCACTAGCCCATCAGTACATCTAGCCAAGTAGCAATGATCAATCCAAACCTTGGAAGATGCAGACACTGAAATTCCATCTCCGTCTGAACCCGATCTATGTCCAACAAGGGTTGGACTGATCCGAACCATACCCGGTTTTCCGGGTTTACAATCATGGATGCCAATCCCATGAATAATGACATGGCTAACCTTTTCAATTACTATACAAGGTCCATTTGCAATTTCAACCTTGGCTCCCCTCCCATCTATAGTTTTGCGACTATTCACAACTAGGTCATTCTCAAGCACAATACTCATATCTTTAGAAAAAATGATCCAAAGTGGCTCGAATCGGGTCACACCGTATCTGAGTGTGCCTGGTTTGGGATTCACTGGGTCATCAGATGGGTCGGTGACGACGTACATTGCACCATTCTTGCCTCCCAAGGCACCATTTCCAAACCCTTTAGCACAATCAGCGAGTTGTTGTCGGTTTGAACTCCATTTGGGATTAGATCTCCAGCAAGAATCGATTACATTCATGGATTTCTTGCTTCCTTGAGGAAAAGTCTCAAGAAAATTAGAATAATCTGTGTCGTACTCATAATCATATTGTTGATTTTTAGCTCTAGATTCGAGAAAAAAGTAAGATAATGAAATCAGCGAAATAACAAGCAAGTTAGTAGTAGACATGATGGCTAAGGGATTGATGCTAGTGTTGCCGGGATTGGGAGATTTCAAAGAGATTATATAGTGAAAATTTTGAATAATATATTTAGAAGTTTGTCACAATATATGTTTACGATTTTCTAAATTCAATTTTTTTTCAAATTTCAAACCATACATTGCATGAATTTCTTCAAAATTTAGAAACATAAATGTGTTTTACTCATTTGTGATATTTACATCTACGAAAGAAAATGCATGAACCACAAATGACGACGCGTGCATTCTTCGGTGCCTAAACTAGTGCTACTTTGCTTACATAAAAATTAGTACACTTGTTTACTTCATTTTCTCGTCCACATGTTAAAATGTCTTTTCAGTGTATGTCTGTACGGGTCCTTTCTTAAAATTATTGACTTTTTACTTAAGTACGATTTACTTAATTATGATCTTCTTATCTTTGTTACCCTTTAGGTCTACTAGTTGACCCACACAAGCTCCAGGGATTAAGGAACACTGATTGATTGACCGATAAATGATGCTTCAATATTTACTTAGAGGTATAAATACCATAGTATTAAGATCTGAACGATTTTCGCTAAAAAAAGTCTTACTCTTGTTAATTTTTTGAATATTTACTGGGGTGCTTTCGAACTATATTTTGGGTATAATGATGTTTCCCAAAACTGGGCACAATTATATCTTTTGAATACAAATCTAAAGTATTTTCATATTGAAAAGGGGGATTCAACCCCATCAAACAATCTAACTACTCAAAATCAATATTTTAAACACAAAATCCATATAGAAATGAGAATAAAACATGATTACGTGGCAAGAAGAGTACAACAAAGATGTAAAGATACAAGCCTTTGGAGAACACCAGGCCACTCAGGCAAGTTGATATATCACTCCTCTGAGCACCTGTCTCTAACGAACACTATGAGAGACTGTTGCAGAGTCTTTTTTTTTCTTTTCTTTTTTTTTTTGTCTCTCTCTCTTTGTCACTCTACTTAGCTAAGCACTAATCCTTTTATGCTATAATATGCTCCACTTCCGCCTCCTTGCAAATGGCTATCGCTATCTCCATTTATAGAACTGAGCACCTCGTGATTATCGTTGAGATGCAGTTAGTTATGCTCTTCTCGCCGTGATTCCAGCTGTAAATTTTTATCATTTTATTGGATCTTCAGGACCAAAATGACTATTACCGAGGATGTCTTTTCCTTGGCCTCTTAGAATTTCTTATTTTGGGAAGTTTCATGGCTTGGAAGTGGTTCTGAAATTGCCTCATGTAACCGGCCTCTTTCTAAAGTGGTCCTAAAATTTATCCCCTTTATTGTAGTATTAGTCGAATTGTCAAGTTCTTCCTTTTTTTTTTTAATTTTTACTGCTAAATTTTGTCCATGACCATAGGAAAGTACAAAAATTACTTAAAAATATACAATTCTAGCCTAAATTCTCTATATTATAATGAAAAGAATCCTAAAAGCAATGTGCATAATAATTATGTAAATTGGACACTTATCACAAATTTTGTCCCTGATCAGAGAAAAGTACAAAAATTATGCAACATGGATAGTACTAGTATTATTTGTGTTTGTTTCCATTTTTGATGGATTTTTCACATTATTTAATTAATAAATATCTCATTTCAATATACTTTTTGATGGATTTTTCACATTATTTAATTAATAAAGATCTCATTTCAATATATTGCTTTTTAAAAAAATAATCCACCCTAATGGATCCCACTTAAATGTGGGTAAACCCCACCATTACAACCCCTGGTGGAAATCTAACCTTGGTTTATCACCACGGAAGACAACAACCTAACCACTAGGCTGTCAATCAATTCCCTATCTCATTCCAATATACTTTTTTTACATTTCCAATGAAAAAAACACTTGAAAATACACACTAAAAAACCTATCCCAAAATTAGATTTGTGGGCCGATTTAAAAATAACTGAAAGATAAAGGTTCAAAATGAGGTTTTTTTCCCCCGGAAAATAGACGCGTCTTTTCCCTAAAAAAAATAATTAAAATAAAGGTGGAC